CCACGCACGCGGGGGCGGTGGGCACGCTGCCGCTGGGGGGCTACGTGGCGCCCGGCTACCCCCTGCAGCTGCAGCCCTGCACCGCCTATGTGCCGGTCTACCCGGTGGGCACGGTGAGTGCGGGGCGAAGGCGGGAGGGGCGAGCTTGGGATTGGGGACCCCGTGGGGCCCGGGGACCTGGCGGTGTCCCGGGACCGGCAAGCGCTGGCGAGGAGAGCCGAGGGCAGAGAGCCTTGGAAGAACCCTGGGAATAGTGGGGCGTGGTGGTCAGAGGTCAGGACTGGGAGGGGGACAGAGAACAGAGGCCAGGAGGGGACCGGAAAGGAGGAGGGGCAGGGGAACCGACCGTGGGGCCCGGGGCCGAGGGGGCAGCAGCCGGTGACCTGCCCGGGCGGAGGGGAGCCCAGGACGGAGCAGGCGGTGTGCCCTGTGGTCGCCTGCAAGAACGCGGGGGCCCCGAGGAGGAGAGGGCCCGGCGGAGCCGCTGGTGCCCCGGAAGAGCGTTGGGTAATTGGTTTCTTTGACGTGCAACGGCTAAAACTGTGCTTTGCAAAGCGCCCCGCCTGGCCGCGGCTGGCGGGCCGGGCGTTGGGGTGAGCTCCCTACGCTCAACTTTCCTTTCCAGCCCTACGCGAGCGGGACCCCGGGGGGCGCCGGCGTGGCCTCCACTCTGCCCCCGCCGCCCCAGGGCCCGGGGCTGGCGCTGCTGGAGCCGAGGCGCCCGCCGCACGACTACATGCCCATCGCAGTGCTGACCACCATCTGCTGCTTCTGGCCCACGGGCATCATCGCCATCTTCAAGGCGGTGCAGGTGGGCCGGGGGCCGCGGCTGGGGCGGGCGGTGCCTGCGCTCGGGCGGCCCTGACCCTTGCCCGACCCGCCGCAGGTGCGCACGGCCCTGGCCCGCGGCGACATGGTGTCCGCCGAGATCGCGTCGCGCGAGGCCCGGAACTTCTCCTTCATCTCCCTGGCCGTGGGCATCGCAGCCATGGTGCTCTGTACCATCCTCACTGTCGTCATCATCATCGCGGCGCAGCACCACGAGAACTACTGGGATCCCTGAGGACGCCCCCGCCCGGCCCCGTCTGCGCCCCGCGACCTCTCGGGCGCACTCTGCAGTCGCGCCGCGGATCCCTCGGGCGCGGGACCTCCACGCACCCTCCACGCCGCCTCCACGGAACGGCTCGCCTGGCGAGCACGCTCCGAAGCCAGTTCCTCAGGAACCCCTCCAAAACCCACGCCCCCAGAGACGCCGACCCCTGGGGCCCCCGCCACACGCCGGGCCCTGGTAGCTCCAGCTCGCAGCCCTGTCCACGCGCATCGCCCCCAGTCCAGCCTGGACCCGGGTCCCCAAGCCCCGCCTCCTCCGCAGGCCCCGCCCCGTTCGGACGGAACCCCGCTTCCAGGCCGGCAGGCTCCGCCTTCTCGCCTGCGGGGCGCTTCGGGGCGGAGGTGGGGTGTGCGGCCCTGGCCCAGCCCGCGAACTGCCACGCTCGTCCGCTCTCCAGGCTGCAGGACCGTGCCCCGGGGTAGCCAGCCCCACGCTCACACCCATTTCTGCTAGTCCCGTTTCGTCCTCCTCCGCCCGGGTCTCTGCCTATTTTCTTTTTTCTTTTTTTTTTTTTTGTTTTTGGTTTTGTTTTTGGTTTTTTTCCGGTATCGGGAATCGAACTCACGACCTCGCGCTTGCCAGGCAGGCTCTGTGCCGCTGAGCTAAATCCCCAGCCTCTTCTGCCTATTTTCTTGCTAATTCCAGAACTTTTTGTTGTTTTTGGAAGGTTTAGGCCCGGCACCCTGAGAGAAGAACCGCGTCCCTGCTCTGTAAATACCCCTCTACCGTCCCAACCTGGGCAGCCGGGCAGAAGGGAGGCCAGGATGAGCGCCTCCCTGTCCCTGCTCCCCTCGGGGGTCCCTGCCTTGTTCTGGTCTGTGTGCCTGTGTGACCCTCGAAAGACGACATTAAAGAGACCTAGCGGATTTACCACCGCACTTCCAAAGACTGCGGCCCCCAGAAGACCGCGCGTTTTTGGGTCCCTTTTCACTTCTCTTCATGTCCTCTTCCAGGGGAAAAAAGGAAAGCAACAGAGACAAAAGTGGAAGAAGACAGATTCAGGGAACACACGCATATGGGGTCTGGGGGTGTCCATCGGGGAAGACCTTGGGTACCATTCTGGGTGGGGTTTTGTTTCCTCGGAGCCCCTTTTTCTCCGCTCTGTGCTAGACTGGGCTCAGGGCATTCGAGAGAGATTTACAGGGACACCCCAAAATCTATCCCCAGACTTGCCAGAAAGGCAAAGGAAGACGGCGGACCGTGGTGAAGAAGTTGGCTGAGGACAAGGCGACTGCAGGGAAAAGATGCCGGCTGCAGAGTCCTTCCTGCCCGTGGGCCAGTGGGTGGGAAGGAACTTGGATCTCCCGGGGCTAATTGCCCCCCTACGCTGAGTTAACCGCGAGGCCTTTGTGTGCTGGGGGTTCGCAGGTTGGCACAAGCAGTGGGCTTAGTGACGTTCATTGTACAGTTGCACGCCAGGTCCCACCCTGAATGTGTGCGTGCATACAGCACACAGACGCCGTGTGGGCTGCTGGTGAACAACAGGCCCACGCAGCGCTGTGACCCTGGCCTCGTGGGGTTTATGATCTGGAAGGGAGGTGGGTGCTGTTAGGAGATGGGGGTGGGGGGTTCCAGGATGTGATATTTCAGTCTTGCAGTGCCTTCCTCACCTGACTTCCTGGAAAAAATAACGTGCAGTTGCAACTTTCACTTCTTCATCCCATAATCTTCTATCCCATCTGCTCCTCCTTAGACGGGAGTACAGGCTGGCATGGTGGCACAGGCCTATAATCCCAGCACTGAGAGGAAGCTGAGGCAGGAGGATCCAAAGTTTGAGTCCCACCTGGACAATTTAGGAAGAACCTCAGAAAAAAAAGGGGGGTGGCTGGGTATGTAGCTTAGTGGTAAAGTAACCCTAGGTTTAGTGCCTAGTAGTACCAAAAGGGATATGTTTGGGGGCTGCTATCAGATATGTACCTGTGTCTTTTTCATAGTTACTATTTCTTAATTCCTTGAAATACGCGCCCACTCCTTAACCTACTAAAACTGCTCTGCTCTTTCAAATAGCACCCAGTGACCAGAGGTTACCTGGAGCAAATATTTGCACAGTATTATGTCTCTCTGAATCCTTTCGTGCCTCTTTCTTTCTTTTTTTCTGAGACAGGGTCTTGCTGTGTAGTTCAGGCTGGCCTTGCAGTCACTACATAGCCCAGGCTGGCCTCCAACTCTCAGCGATCTTCCTGCCTCAGCCTCCCAAGTGCTGGGATGACAGGCGTGCACCTAGCACTCTTACCTGTCTCTTGAGCCTGGATTTCCAACACCTCCAGGCCCAGGGACCCGTTTTCTCCCACCACACACACCTCTAAGCCCCCTCCTCCTGATCTCTGTGCTTCTGCTCCTCCCTCCCTGAAGTGTCTATCACTGGATTTTCCCTTGAAGTCTCATCCACTGGACACAGCTATCATCATCTCTGTGTTTCAGGGCTGATAAGCACACTAAGCATTTTAAGCTCTCGATCTTGTCCCTGAGCCACACCCCAGCCCAGACCATCATCAATAACCTAATGCAATCTTGCAGTGAACTCAGCGGGCGGCCGGTGCTGCTGGCTGTTTACACACCCCACGGTGCAAGCAGAGTGGATGAAATGCCACCCCACCCTGCTTCCTGTCTCCCTGAATGTTGTCCTCTTCTCCACCACCCTTCCTCGTCTGAGCACTCACCGCCTCCGTCTCTCTCTTGCCTCACTGTTGCTGCGCTGTCAGGCTAAGTCAGTTCTACAGACCCTTCCCAGAATCATGAGCTCACCTGGGATTATTGCAACACCTCTCCTCCCTTCCTACCTGGCTCTCCTCCACGTTGCCCTTTATGCTGCTGTCAGATCACCCACCCCAGATCACCCAACCTAGTCGGGCTTCGCTTGGCATGTAACTCTGCTGCTCAAAATCCCTTCCGAATGCTGGGTGCCGTGGTGCCTCGCCGTTCCAGCTACCTGGAAGGCTGAGATAGGATTGCTGTGGCTCAGAAGTTCAGGACCAGCCTATGCACCACCGCCTGATTGCATATCAAAAAAAAACAAAAAAAAGCTTCAGTATTACCTGTGGCTATTCAATTATTTACAGAATTCCAGTATGGAGCTGGAGATGTAGCTCAGTGATACAGTGTTTGCCGAGCGTGAGTGAGGCCCTGGGTTCAGCCACCAGCAACACAGGCGCGAACACCCACGCACACGCACGTGCACGCAAAATTTCTATCTGGCCTCCAGCTTCTATAACTTGAAACATCTGAACCGACCCAACCTTCTCTGTTCGATCTAATTTACTTGTGAATTCCACTTCCAAGCATTCACCCAGCTGTTCGCAAATCCTCAATCTCTGCCTCTTATAAACCAAACTGCCTTAGGCTCCTCCTGAGTGTCAGACCAGCTCCAGGCTTTTGTTTGATGCACCACACCGCGCTCTGCTAGTTCATATTTTTCCTGCCCTTCCAGGCCCAGGTCATACTTGCTCCTCTCCAGCAGAAAGGTCTCGCTCTGTCCTCGGGTTTGGATCAGAGCCCCAGGCGTTCCTTGGAGCAATGCTTCTCACCAAAGGCTGTGCATTATAATCACCTGGGGAGCATTTAAAAATCCCAAAGCCCAGGTCGCAGCATCCTAGACCAATTAAGTCAGAATCTCTGGGGTTGGGACACAGGCATTGATATTTTTTAAGACATCCCTAGGTGATTCCAGAAGACAGCCAAGGACAGGGATCACTGTTTTGTTTTTGTTTTTGTTTTGAGGTAATTAGGATTCAACCAAGGGCCTTCACACTGAGAACACTCCCAGTCTTTTAGTTTGTTAATTACTATTATTTTTAAGACAAGTTCTTGCTAAGTTGCAGAGGCAGTGCTGGAACTCTCAATCCTCCTGTCTCAGACTCCCAGAGTGCTAGGATTACAGATTAGTTGTCACCATGCCCCGTTGGGAGTCACAGGCTTTGAGTCACCTCGGGGACTCCCCAGGAAAAGGAGAGAAGCCAAAAGGTGGCTTCAGCCACTCCACTTTACTAGGAGAAAAATATTTGGGCCCGAAGCCCACCCAGCTGCCCCCTCTCTCGCTGGCCCCCACGCCTTACCTTGTGAGCTGCTCAAGGCAGGGGCCAGCTCGGATGCACCTCTGCTTTTCAGCTCCTCCTCAGAAAAACCTCCTCTACTAACTTCACACTCAGCTGAATTGAAGGTAAGCAGGGGACGGAGTAAAATGACTTCCACATCCCCTCCCCCCACCCAGACTCCTCCCTGGAGAGAAAAGGAAAAGCCGTGTTCCAATTCCATTCTCCCCCACCTTCCCTCCACTCCGCCTGCACACAGTGCCCTGGGCTCCTTGCACCTCCACTGACAGCTTGCACCCTTCCAGGGCGCCTGTGATCCCCATTAACACCTACCTGGGTGCTTGGGTTCCCCTGTGCTTGGATGCTGGGTCATCCGGGTCACCATTCCCTTTCTTATCAGAGAGGCAGCACCTGGCTCACTGTCTTTCTGTCTCTGCCTGACTTGTTTGGTTTGGTTTGGTTTTGCGGTGCTTGGCATCAAAGCCAGGGCCTTGCACACGCCAGGCAAACTCCTAGCACAGAGCTATATCCCTAACCCCTCGTTTCTTTATTTTGATGTATACGGCATCCAAGTAGATCACCCAGTACTCTGCTCAGTTCTGGGCCTTCCTCATCTCTGGTGATCCAACCCTCCCGGCTCTCTGCCGCTCCCCGGTGTCCTGCCTGCCACTCGGCTCCATCTATAACTGCTACCCTTCCAAAAATCACAGCTGTAGACTTTTCCTGTCAACTCCCAGTGCCCCCACACCAAAAACACCCAACCTGCCAGGCATGGTGGGGCACATCTGTAAACTCAGCGCTTGGAAAACAGAGGCAGGAGGATCGCTGTGAGTCTGAGTCCAGCCTGGGCTACAGAGTGAAAAGAAAACAAAACAATAACAAAAAAACTCTCAACCCCATCTGGACCTCCCATCTAATGACTCTACCCAAAAGAATTTTTTTCCATCCTAGAAATGGAACCCAGAGCCTCATGCACACTAGGAAAATACCCTACCACCCAGCTACATCGACAT